CTGACGTGTCCCTGTGTCCCCAGGCTTCACCAGCTTCATGCGCAGCCCGGCCTGCGAGGTGTCCAACCCCCTGCACCGCCAGGTGCACCAGGACATGGAGCAGCCCCTGTGCCATTACTTCATCGCCTCGTCCCACAACACCTACCTGAGCGGGGACCAGCTGCTGTCCCAGTCCCGGGCTGACATGTACGCACGGGTGCTGCAGGCCGGCTGCCGCTGCGTCGAAGGTGGGCTGCGAGGGGGCTGCAGGGGGGCTGCAAGGGGCTCTACTGGGCTGCAGGGGGGCTGCACGGGGCTGTACTGGGCTGCATGGGGCTGTACTGGGCTGCAGGGGGGCTGCAAGGGGCTGCACGGGGTTGTACAAGGCTGCACGGGGCTGTATAGAGCTGTAAGGGGCTGCACGGGGCTGTATAGAGCTGCAGGGGGCTGCGTGAGGCTGCATGGGTCTGCACAGGGTTGTACAAGGCTGCACAGGGCTGCAAGGAGTTGTATTGGGCTGGAAGGGGCTGCACGGGGCTGTATAGACCTGCAAGGGGCTGTACTGGGCTGCACGGGGCTGTATAGAGCTGCATGGGGGTGCATGAGGCTGCATGGGTCTGCACAGGGTTGTACAAGGCTGCACAGGGCTGCAAGGAGTTGTATTGGGCTGGAAGGGGCTGCACGGGGCTGTATAGACCTGCAAAGGTCTGCACGGGGCTGCATGGAGCTGCAGGGGGCTGCACAAGGCTGCAAGGGGCTACACGGGGTTGTACAAGGCTGCATGGAGCTGCACGGGGCTGCATGGAGCTGCATGGAGCTCCAAGGGGCTGCACAGGGAAAAAATATTGTTAATCTCTATTGAAAAATTAATTAGAGAAAATGAACCTGAGAAAACTGGGTGCTTGCCTTCTGCAGAACAGCTCCCCAGAACGCTCTGCAGTGTTATTTTGCTTGACCTCAAAGCCCAGGGAATAGCTCTGCAGCTTTCTCCTTTGAAAGTCCAACTGCCTGTAGAGGCAGCAGCAGTGACAAGTTTGGTACAAATTCAAGGTACAGGCATTCATTAGGAAAAGCATTCTTATGCTGGTCCATTCTCATGTACTGGATTTGATGCTACTCTTCATACAGTTATAAAGCTGCAAGTTAAATTGGGAGTGGGAAAACAAAAATTCTTTTTAAATAGTTTGTCTTCAGAAGTAAAAACTGCTTTCCCAAGGTAGCTGTAAACATGATTTGAGCTATTACACCTTTGTAGTTTTATAGAGGAGGAAAAAAACCTCAAATTAATACAAGGGAAAAACCAGTCCTAAGATGCAGAATTCTCATCTGACCTAGGAAAGGACTGTCCTGTTAGTCTGAGCTCAGCTGGCAGGTGGGAGGAGATGGAATGAGAGGTGGCCAGAGGTGCAGTGAGCCTTGTTGGCCACGGCTGAGCTCTGCTGGCAGCAGGACCACAGGAATGGATCAGATTGGGGGCATCTCTTAATGTGGGGCTTTTCTGGTCTTCACAGTGGATTGCTGGGATGGCCCAGATGGGGAGCCAGTGGTGCACCATGGCTACACCCTGACCTCCAAAATCCTCTTCAGGGACGTGGCAGAAACCATCAATAAATATGCCTTCATCAAAAACGAGTAAGTGTGGAGCCAGGTTTGCAAAACGCCTGTTTTCTGTATTAATCCCACACTGAAACCAACCATCGAGCCCAGGAGGTGAAAAGATTCCTTTAAACACATCAGGGTTGATTCTGTTTCCCTGTTTATTGCCCATGTTGTGTTTTGAGGGACAGAGTTCTGCCTAAGCTGAACCTTTTGTGCTCTTAAACTCAGTAAGGCTTTGGACAGTCTGACACTGCTGATTATCTTCAATGGAACTTCCCACTCACATCCACAGGGAAATTCTCCTGTGAAATCAATACTGTGATGTTCTCTACCTGCTGAAAATACTTTATTTAAGCAGAAAAATTGAAAAGCTGTCATGTGTAGACTGAGGAAATACTGAGGTGTGGGATAGTGTTCTGAATCTGTTTCATTTGCCATGGTGCTTTATCACAGTTTATTATGAAAACTGTGGAGTTTACCATGTATATATACACACAAAGAGTAGTCTCAAATCATGAGTGGGTGTAGAGAATTTTGAGTAGTTTAAAGAGAATAAAAGGAAAATACTTCCTTTTCTGTGTTAAAAAAAAAAAAAAAGTGCACCCAAGAAGAGATGTGTGGAAAAAAAACAACCAAGTCCAAAAGTTTGGTGTTATTGATGAGAAATACAAGGTGGTACTTTCAAAACTAAAGAAGGTGGTTTTCATTATTTGGTGTGGGATTCCTTGTCATAGAACTCCGGGGCTGCCAAGAGTTTAGAAAATAGTGGGGCAAATTTGTGGAAGAAGTCAGCTGTTCCATTCGTGGGAGGGATGATAAGAGTGCAGGTGCTGTGTCTCCACACTCAGCTGTGACAGTGGCTGGGGCTTTTTCCAGGTTTCCAGTGATACTGTCCATCGAAAACCACTGCAGTATTCAACAGCAAAAGAAGATTGCCCAGTACCTGAAGGAGATATTTGGTGACAAACTGGACTTGTCATCTGTGAACACTGGAGATCCCAGACAGCTTCCCAGCCCTCAGGATTTAAAAGGGAAAATCCTAGTGAAGGTAACTTGCTGCTGGGCATGTTCAGAATGCAACAAAAGTCAGCTTGTGATATTCATTGTAGATTTTCTTTGGAGGACCAGTTCATATCCCTGCAGCATCTAAACATTATCTGACAGCCCTTCCTTGGACAAATACTTTGGAGTGACAGAAAAGTGAAGATTTCCTTCCTTTCCCCTCACCCAGCTCGTGGGATGGAACTCTGTTCATGGTTCATCTGTGTTTATGGGAGAAGAGCAGCTCAGGAGGAGCTGCTGGGGTTGGTGCTCTGTGCAGGATTAATTGTGTGAGCCTCTCACTCCAAACAGATTTGCTCTGAAAGGAATTCCCAAGGCCAGGATAGACAGAACAGGGAAGAAGAACAAGGCAGACCTTTGGGAAGACGATTAATGGAGTTCTGCCCTATTACATGGTCTAATTTCCCTGGACACAGGGTGGCAGTTCCTTCTGTGTGAACTCTCAGGATTCTCTGGCTTTCCCTCTGTCCTTGCTGTCAGGCTGGCTGCAGGGATTCCCATTTTCAGTCTGATGTTAGTTTGAACATGCTGCAGTGCACAGTACAGAGCTGACTAAATGAGGAGGCCTGTGAGTGCTCAGCTGTGATTTTACATTTCACTGCATCAGTTTTCTGGGGTGGCTGCTGGTTAATGAACAGAGCAAACACGTGGGGCTGGTGTTTGAGGGATCCACAGGAAATTGTGTGGAACATCACTCCTGGGAGAAATCCCATGGCCCTGCACTACAGGCAGGAGAGGCTGAGTGCTCTGGGTTCTTACCTGGGTTCTGAGCTGGCTTTTCAGCACATCTGAGGCTGTAATTTCAGTGTGATCCTCCAGCTCTCACTGCTGCAGCCCTGTGGGTACAGACTGCTGTGGAGCTGAGCTGTTTGAAGAATGAGAAATTCTATCTTGAGCATCACAGGATCCCTGCACAAAGCCCTGTCTCCCATCCCCTGCTCAATTTAGGCAGCTCTATTGGAAAAGACAAAATCAGATTTAGGAATCAGTCCCTTGTTGAGAAGTAAGCCAGCCTCTCATCCTTTTGCTGTTGTTTCTGGTCTTTTTATACATTTTTCCTTTGAAAGGCAGTATTGATTCACTAGCCAAACAATTTCAAATAATGGCATAATTTTCATCCTGTAAGTCTATATGAAGAGTCATTCTAATAACACTCAGGGATTTAAGCCAGTGTAAAGGTACCAGCACGAAGTGAATTTGACCCACTCATTAGCTGCAGCATTATTAATTTCAAAATGCAGCCTAAAAATCTATCCTCTGCTTTTCTGCAGAAATCTGAGTGTCATTCCTGTCTCCCACTGATGAAGCAGGTAGGCTGAGAGCATTTCTGTGCACGGAAGTGATATCACAGAATAAGTTTAGGAGGGGATTTATTTAGGAGCAGATGGTAAAGCAAGAGGAGCAGACTGGGTGCACTAATTAACACTGACCACATTTACTGGGGGTGTTTTTTCCTCATTTTAGGGTAAGAAGTTGCCCTGCAGCCTTGGAGCAGATGCTGAGGAAGGAGAAGTTTCAGAAGAGGACAGTGCTGATGAAATTGAGGATGACTGCAAGTTGAAGCCCTGCTTTGTATGTGCACACAGTCAGTTCACAGAGTGTGACAGTTCTGCATTTCTTACATGCACTCTCCATGTCCTACTTAGAGTTGTTAGCAGAGTTTTTATTCCTAAGTTTTTAATTCCTATGTCAGGTTCATGCTGTTCCATAGGCTTCATTTTTATTTTAAGTGCCTTATGTAAGAGACTGCTTTGAGTCTGTATAGTCTGGATGGCTGTTAACAGGAATTGCTTCCTTTTTTAACTGTCTGGAGCAGGAATCTAATGCTTAGGGTGTCTGTAAGTGCATTAGCTGGGAATTCATGTTCTTCTGAAAGAGAAGATGGGGCTTGTGACAGCTCTGAGGCAGAGAGAGCCCATGGCCAGGTCCTGGGGGATGTGTGAGTGGACTGGGAGCTGAGCTGGGAGGACTGAGGGGAAAAGGAGAAGGGAAATGGCAGTGAAAGCCACAGGCAGAAAGGCAGGATTATGCAAGGAGCCTTTTCTTGCAGAGGGAAGGGAATGGGAGCACGGTGTGACCCTCAGAGTGAGGTGGGATGGACATGAGCACCTCCCTGAACTGCGTGTCCTGGTGTCTTTCAGAGCAACGGAGCAACTCAGCACCAAGTGGAATCTTTTATACGAACAAAACTGGAATCTCTGCTAAAAGAATCCCAGATCAGGGACAAAGAGGATCCTGACAGCTTCACTGTGAGAGCCCTGCTGAAGGCAACCCACCAGAGTTTCAGTGTGAACCTGAGGCAGGTAGGTGGGCTCTGCCTTCACAGCCCCTGGCAGGGCTGCACAGTGCAATGTGTCACTGACTGATTCACATGAGACACCAAGAACTGAGGAAGTGGATGCAAACCCCAGGGACATTAAATACAAAGTGAATTTTCTGTGGAGATGTGCCTGCTCTGGAGCCAGTGTCACAGTGTCTCTTTTCTGGGAGTTACTGTGTAATTGATGGACCAGAAAGGGAGCAGTTGGGATATTTTCCTATTTTTTTACTGGTCATTTATTTTCTTTCATTACTGATCTGCCTTTGATTTTTTCCAAATAATTGTTATTAGAAGAAGTAAAAATCTTCTAAAGATTCCTTCTACATGTTGGAGAGACTTCCAGCCTGAGCTCTGAGCAAATCTCTAAACACAGGTTATTGATTTTGCTGGGCCCCCAGTGCCCCCATCATCATGAAAGCCCAAAGTGACTCGAGCTCAGCACTGAACAGGGAATAGCTGGAGTTCACTGAAACACTCACCCAGCTGAAATGCTGGGGGAATATTCTTCAGTTTTGTTTTGCTCTTCAGAAGATGAAGGGCTGTGTGTTCCTGACAGAAGGAGCGAGATGCTGCCAGGAGTTATCCAGCTGATGTCTGGAGGCATGGCTGGGAATGTGGAACTCAGCCTGCAGGCTGCCTATGAAAAGTCTACATTTATCTGCTGGGAGATACTTTTTTCTCTCCCCTTTCCCTTTGTGGCTGCTTTCAAGAATACTCAAACGTCTTGGTTTGTTGTTTCTTTCCTGGTCTTGCTAGACTGCTTTTTCTGCATGGTTTGTTGTTGTCTGGAGTGCTAATGTTAGTATTTTTCTTTACAGTTAGAGGATTCTAAACGATCAAATGTACAAAGAAATTAGAAAAATCCTGTAATGAGATTTTGGATTTCCATTTGTCACAGATCAGACTATAACTCACTTTGTCACATTTGCAATAATTTTATTTTCCTAATAGTGAAAGAGGGTGACATACAAGAACTTGTATGAAGTGGAAATTCTGTCTTTTGGAGACTGTAGCAGACTCTTTAAAAAAGACATTTCTAAAGGTATTTAGTTACACTTTTTATTGCACTTTTTCTGCACAGAACCTGGACACAAAAGAAGGTGGAAAAAAGTCTCATGGTCGATCATTAATGGGCAACTTTGGCAAACACAAGGTGAGTGAAATAAATGAGAGCTGAGGTTGCTGCTCTAGGACTGGCAGCATTCCAGAGACCCTGGCAATGTTTTACTGCTCCAGACAAGTGTGGTGGGCATGGAGGAGGGAGCCTGTGTGGTTACACTTGGTGTCTTAATTCTGTTCAGAAAACTGAGAACCTTTTAGATGAACAAAAACTTCTCATGTGGCTAAAAGATCATCTTTACTCGTGCTGTGGAATTGCTGATTTCCTGATCAGACTTGCAGCAGCAGAAGAGCAGCATAGACAAAAGTCTTGTGTCTTTGTTTGTCACACAGTGCCTGGTTCAGTCAGGGCCCAGTTTTGCTGTGTCCCACCCTGGCCAGGGCCGTGCTGGGACTGTCCCTGCTCCCAGGGGCTGGCTCTGGGCTCCTGCTCTTCCTCATCTCCTGCTTTTCACGTCCCAGTTGTGTTTGTGCAGCTGCTGGGTCAGGCTGCTTGCTCTGCTGCTCCTCAGGGGAGTCTCCAGGCAGGAGCTGAGAGCTCTGATTTCTCAGCTGGGCACACAAGGGACAGTGCCCACGTCTCCTCCCATTCCCACATCCTGACAAACGTGCTGCTGTCATCTGCCTCCCCTGTTCCCCCACTCCCAGGTGCCCTGAGCCTTGGATTTCCAGCCTCAAGGAGCTGCTGCAGCTGCCAGCTCCCTTGGTGCTGAGCCCCTGAGAGCTGCAGTGGTGCCTGGGCAGAGGGGCAGGTGCCCAGCCCAGCCCCTGTGCCCCAGACTCTGCTGTTCCTGCTCTCCATGGTGAGGGCTGCACTGAGCTTGGGACTGATAATCTGAGCAGGTTTTTATGATTAAGAGGCATTTCAAAGAACTTAATCAGCCACCAGTCCATCTGCCCTGAAGCCAGCTAGGAGCCATCAAAAACTCCCCAAGCAGACAGTGCCAGACTCATATTTACACTTCAGCTCCAAGCTTACACCAGTTTAAAGTGCTCATGTTTCCTTCAGCACCTTTAGCTCAGTGCATTTCCCCTCAGGGTGTGTTAAGAGCTCCTGTGATCCCTGAGAGTGGGCACTGCCCATGGCACCCTGTGCTGGCTGCTGGCCACACAAATCCTGGGAATGTCACAGGCAAACATCAGCCACTGGAATCTGCTGGTTATGCTGAGGGCTGGAAAGTCTGTCAATTATTTCATTACTTCAGCTAGTTATCCTAATGGATGTAGCAGGTTGGAAAGCCCATTCATTTAATCTCTGCTGAAAAAAAATAAGGGTATATATAGATTTAAAAAAAAAAAAGTGATTGTATTGTAGACTGAGGCAACAAAGACATCCTGTAACTGCCCCCTGATGCCTTTCCTGAAGGGATGTCTGGGCAGTCTGGTTACTATTGATATTTTTGCAGATACAGAATTATCCACCCAACAATATTGACATAACATGTTCAGCCAGCTCTTGTGCCAAATGAATAAACTCTTTAAAAACTACCAGGGGATGTACAGAGACACTAAAGCTGGCAGTTCCTGAAAGTTAACTGCATGGAACATGCTCAGTGCAGACCTTCAGACTCCAAAGTGAGCCATGCAAACGATTTCCAATATAGTCAACTTCATGTCAGCACCAAACACAGCAAACTAAATTCTGTCCAGTAGAGTGTATGACAAGAGGAGAAAAGAAATCTGTGCTCAGTGAGCTGTATGCAAAAGGATAAGGAGCTCTCAGTTATATTAATTACCTCTTGATGAGAAGGGAATTAAATAACTCTCACCTGAAGCTGTGTTTAGCATTACAAAAGATGTAGTATTGTAATTGGAAACTGTTAAATCACAGATGCCTAGGAAAAAAGGAGATTTTGAGCTTTTAATCTTTTTTTGTCATAGCTGTATTCTTTGTAGTGTAATGATTTAGAATCACTGGAATATTTGTATGTGGCACAAAATGGAGCAGGAAGATGATGTTTGAACCTTTTGCCCAGGCTCTGTTCACACCTTCACCAGTGAATATGTTTAATTTTCTAAACTGGGCAGAAGCACAGGTGTATATTTAGACCCTGCTGTGTGTTGCTGTTTCCTGAATATGACACAAATAAATAATCCACTGGGATTTCAGCAGGAGGAGTGCCCTGCACCTGTTGGCCTCAGGTGCTGGGAGGGAGCAGGGCAGGTGCAGAGCACAGAGTGGCCTGTGCTGGACAGACCCCTGGCAGAAACAACACCTGAGGCCGTGGCTGACTGACCCTGTTGGCTTTTTCCCACAGAAAGCTGCAAAGGCAGCAGCCAAAGCCCCCAGTGCCTCGGATGACGAGGACAGCCAGCAGCACCCTCCTGGCAAGGAGCTGGGACCCCCCCACAGGTGAGCTGGGACCCCTCAGGTAAAGGCAGGGCTGAGAGGCAATGCCCGGAGCAGGTGACATGTGTCACATGTATGTGTCACATACGTGTGCCACATGTGATGTGTCTGTCACACCTGAGAGCTGTGGCTTTGCTGTGAGCCCCGTGTTTTGGTTATGTCACCTGTCACAGGCTGTAAGCATCAGTTACCCTGAAACTGCAGAGAAGTGTGACAGCTCCACTGCTCATGGGAAGATGCCAGGCTCTATTTCACCTGCTGCAAACGGTGCTCAGAGCACACTGTGCAGGTTAAAGGTGCATCACAGCCCAGGCAACTTTATTGCATCTAGAACAGAAAGAAAAAGCAATCAAAAAAGTGCCACTGAGAATGTGTCTGCTGTCACTGAAACGCTCCTTGGTTTTGTCTAGAACAGCCATGGTGCAGCTACTTCATTTTGTTCTAAATGAAAAATTTTGTTTGTGTGGATGGGCTGTGGAGGTAGAGGGGAGCAATATCCCAGAACCTTCTCCGAGGAGGTTTGCCACCCAGGGTTCCCTGCTCACAACTCTTCATTTCCTTGCTGTTGAAAAGAACAGAAGAGGGATTGAAAAGAACAGAAGGGGGATTGAAATACACCTTCAGTACTGCAAGTGGCCCTTGCTGTTTGCTTTGCCCAGCAGGCTTGCCCGCCGCAGGAAGACAGTGAAGCTGTGCCGGGCCCTGTCTGACCTGGTGGTGTACACCAACTCTGTGGCTGCCCAGGACATCGTGGATGATGGTATGGGGCTGGCACAGGGCTGGCATGTCCCTTGTCACTCACAAGAAGAGGGGGCTGGTGTTAGTGTGGCACGGGGCAAAGCCAGAGCTCAGCAGAGGATTTCACTGTCGGCTCCCCAGAGCTGCCACATCTGGGGGTCTGCAGGAGGAAAGGCCCCAGCAGGAGCTCTTGAGCTTGGGCTCTTTAGCTGGAGCTCTTGCTTGGCTTTCCTTTCAAGTCTGCAGACCTGAGGGGAGAACAACAGACCCTCCTGGAAGGGGGAGCTGGTGCCCTTCATTTACCCAGTGCACGATTCGTGTAAGACAAGACAATCTGTCCTGTAACACTGGACTAAATCTCACGTTGCCCTTGATGAATAGGCAGGTAATGAGGTGTGGGCTCAGGCCCCATGCCCTGGGACCGTTTGTCACCTGTCTGTTGGTTGTACCGTGGCACACAGGCTCCACAGGGAACGTGCTGTCCTTCAGTGAGACCAGAGCCCACCAGGCAGTGCAGCAGAAGGCTGAGCAGTTCATGCTCTACAACCAGAGGCAGCTGACCAGGGTCTATCCCTCAGCCTATAGGATCGACTCCAGCAACTTCAACCCTGTTCCTTACTGGAATGTGGGCTGCCAGCTAGGTAGGAGCTGCATGAAACACTTCCTTCCCTTTTGGTGTGTGTGTGTGTGCCAAGTAATATTATCTTTATTAATGACACCTTTCTCTCGTTCAGTGGCCCTCAACTACCAGTCTGAGGGACGTGTGATGCAGTTAAATGAAGCAAAATTCAGGGTAAATGGCAACTGTGGTTATGTCCTCAAACCTCAGCAGATGTGCAAAGGTAAGGTTCCAGTGCAGTTAGCACTGTAGCACTTTCACAAAGTGTCCTTCACAGTGCAGGCACAAGAAAGGAAAGTGCAGACAAATATAGAATCTTTCATATTTCCATGAACTCACAGCTCTTAGATTTGTACCAGTGTGCAATCTCTTGCTGAGATTATATATATATTTTTATATATGTATATATATGCATGTATATTTTGAGGTCTTTGCCTCATTAACACGTGTTTAAAAGAAGAAAAAAAGGAGTCCTAGGGCGACCAGCTGCAGGAAAGTAGAACAAGCTCTGCAGTGGCCCAGGAACAAGTATCCAGGGCTTGCTCCAGCTCTGCCTTGGAATCACATCAACAAGGGCTGCTCCACTCAGAAAAGGTTGTAAGAAAGAGAATTTTAAAATTACTGAGCAGCTGCTCCATACTCCCAGTTTCTCATTTCTGACTGCATTAGTCTGTCTGTGTGTGCCTTGGGGGTGATATTTATTATGTCCTCACACCTTTTTCTTTACACTCTCACTCTTGCCATCTTTCAGGCACATTCAACCCCTATTCTGCTGATCCACTTCCTGCCAGTCCCAAGAAGCAGCTCATTCTGAAGATCATCAGTGGGCAGCAGCTGCCCAAGCCTCCTGACTCAATGCTGGGGGACAGAGGAGAGGTGAGAGCTCAGCCCCTGCAGTGCCATGGCAGTGTGGGACTCCAACCTTCTCCTTATCCAAATATACCACATTTCAGATATTGTCAAGCTTTTGGTCACTACATACTACACTTCCCCCAGCCTGTATCCTACTCGTGATGTGTAAGAACTGATTTGGTTTATATTTTAAAGGTTGACTTTTATGAAAATTAATCACAGCTGTCCCTAGCTCTTGATGCAAAGCATACATCAGCATGGACTTCATGGAACCAATTCCCATGATAGTGCTGCTTGAAAATTCATGTCAGTCAAAGGGGTTTGAATTCTCATATGAATTTAAATTAACTCTCTCCATTATTTTTTTTTTAATTCACCTTCATTTGTATGACTGGCTTGCTTTTAAAATACTGTGTTTTTGAAAAACAGATAATAGATCCCTTTGTTGAGGTGGAGATTATTGGGTTACCTGTTGACTGCTGTAAGGATCAGACCAGGGTGGTGGATGACAATGGTAAGATAATCTAAGTGATTTCTTCTTCTTAGAGTAAAATATTAAATAATTATAAATAAATCAGTGTCTGTTATTGCTTTCTAAATTGCAAAGCATTTTATCTGATGAAATCAAATGATCAGATTTTAACAAATTACTTCTGCTTCCCAGACAGAATTTCTGGTGTGGAGACAAGCTCGAGGTGAAGGGCAGGAGTTGTTCTCCACATTGTCTTTTAACAGAATTGTTCTTAAATCTCCTTCATGCAGAAGTTCCAAAACTGTCTGTATTTATATCTGTATCTCTCTCAGTGCTTGCCTGGGAATCCTTGCCAGCTCCCACCCAAACCCATTTTGTTTTTAAAGCAATCCTAGAGGTACATCTGTCCCATTTAATGACTGACACGATGGAACTGTCACTGCTGCTGCTGCCTGTCCTGTGCCTCAGGCACTCGCTGTGTGTCCCCAAGCGTGTCCTGTTTGTCCTGCAGGGTTCAACCCAGTGTGGGAGGAGACCCTCACCTTCACCATCCACATGCCCGAGATGGCCCTGGTGCGGTTCCTGGTCTGGGACCACGACCCCATCGGGAGGGACTTTGTGGGGCAGAGAACTGTGGCCTTCAGCAGCCTCGTGCCTGGTGAGTCCCTGTGCTCCTGGGATGGGGATCCACCTCGAACCAAGGAGGGTGTGACCAGCACGAGATGATAGATTTTATAAATGTTTATCTCTGTGACTTCATGTGGAGCTCGGACAACTCTTCTGTTCTCTTAGGGTGCTTTATAAAGGCACCTTTCCTCAAAGGAGTTTGGTTGTCTGTGCTTTTGGGAATTACTGCTCGTGTGTTTCTTATAACTTGGATGCAATTTGTCCTGGGGCTCAGAAAACCTGTGAGGACACCAGAGAAGTTTACTAAAGGCACCAGGTGGTTCCCTGTGTACACATCACTTTTATAGACAGTCATTGCTAGCTGGGCACAAAATGCAGACTGCAGGTTCTTGGAGGTGCTTTGAGGGGAAATATTTCTATTTCTGTTTCCCCAGGCTATCGCCACGTGTATTTAGAAGGACTGACAGAAGCTTCCATATTTGTTCATATAATCATTAATGAGACCTATGGAAAGGTAGGTACAGCTGGAAATTTACATCTTCCTTTGATAAAAACGGATTTAAATGTACCCCAGAACCTCCCAGGATCTGTGCTGGAGTGCCCAGGAGGCTCAGAGTGTGTGTGGGGCTTCCTTGCAGGAGAGCAGCAAGGAAACTCCACCATGCCATGACTCCACTCTTGCTGTGCACACACTTGCAGATGTTGTCACTGCTAGCACCTAACAATTATCTTGTCTAGATACAGGAGGTACATTTCTTCAGTGTGCTAAACTGATCTTATTTTGGAAGTAGATCTTGAGAACTGTGGCCGCATCAGAACATGATAGTTGACAAGCTATTTTTAGCAGCTAATTTAATTAATTTAAACTAATTAATTTAATTTTAGGTTTTAGTGCATAGATTTTGCTTTTGTGCAAGTGTGCTAATTTTAGAATGTTTTTAAAGTGAAAGTGAAAGCACAGTGCTTTTTCTGTGTTTTCAGCTGCCTTCCTAGCTGTGTCCATGTGGAGATAAGCAGCCAAGAAATTAAGGCCATGTTCAGCAGGATGCTAAAGTAAAGTAGCACCTTTGCAGTGATTTAAGAAACAAAGCTAAACAAACACCTGACCTTTGTGAGGTTTGAGGTTGCAGAGGACACTCAGGCCTCAGTCTTTGTGCCTTCTGAGAGGATGCAGAGAATGCACAAACATGAACTCAGAGGTGTGCAGCACCCACAGAAAGCTCAGGGGAACAGAGAGAACAGCAGAGAGAAGGGCCCAGGGTTTGCTCTTCTCCAGATCCTCCCAGCTCTACTTGCTTTCTGGGTGTGCTCACCTGCTGCTGCTCTGAATGAATGATGGGGCTGCATTGCTGCTTCTCACAGGCTGGGTTTGTGTCTGTGAGTGAGGAGATCTGCTCACTTCCTGGGGGACACACGTCAAACTAAGAAATAATTTTAAATGGTTTGCTGTGGAGTGGTTCTATTTACAGCTGATGTACTGTTACCTTATTTGCTTGTGTGGCAGTCTTGAAAACATTAGCCAAATGGATTTGCATTTCTTTTTGCCTTTCAGTGGAGCCCTTTAATCCTCAATCCCAGTTACACAATAATGCACTTTCTAGGAGCCACAAAGGTAGAGCTCATGAGCATGCACTTTGCACTTGCTAGGCACAGACTTTCCAGTGATTCCCAATCGCATGATCTGCAACTGCCAAACTGGAACCATTCTCCATGCAGGCTCTGAAACATCTGAGTATTGCTTTGATGCAGCTCATGCATAGAAAACTCCACGTTCATGTGCAGCCTGTCACTGCTGAGCACTTCCTAGAGCCTTGTCAGCTCCCATTAGGAGACTGAGCAAAGTCTCTGGTAACTGTGGCAGGCTGCCATCCTAATGAGGAGAAAGGCAGGCATGCATGAATCCATGGAGACCTGTGCTGGGAGCTCCTTGCTCAGAGTAGCTGTGAGTGGCTTGGTGTGAATTCTTTGCTTTGCTGCGTTTTGAACTTTGTCATCATCACTCATATAATAAGCACTGTGAGAGCAGCTCTGTGGCTTGTGAATGAGTGTGGGCTCAGGCCAGGCTGTGCTGTCGCTGTCCCTGCAGAGCAAGCAGCTGATGGGGCTCCGAGGGCTGTTCTCCAAGGCGCCCAAGGCGGGCACTGCCGAGGCCGGCGGGCACCACGTGCGCAAACGCTCCATCGGCGAGCGCATCCTGCGGCGCACGGCCAGCGCCCCCGCCAAGGGCAGGAAGAAGAGCAAGATGGGCTTCCCGGAGGCTGCCGACATCAGGGACAGTGCCTCCGAGCCAGCTGACCTGAAGGACAAGGAAGGGGTGCTCCGGCGGCCCAACAGGACCTTGCAGGCACGTCCTGTCTCCATGCCCGTGGACAGATTCCTCATGGTGGAGCTGCCCTGCCCTGCAGAGGACACTGCCCAGGAGGCCAAGGAAGAGGAAGACACATCTGGTAAGATGCTTCCAAAATTACTTTCGGTGGATGGTCAGGGCTCCCCTTGCTTCTTCCAAGAGTACCTGATTCCTAGCGAGCATTAAAACCGGTACCTATTATGCCAAGTTTACTTCTATAGTCCGTGCTTCATTAAATCTCCAAAGGAGTGAGTCACAGAGCTCAGATTTGGCATAGAAAGACAAGAGGATTTGGTGGAGAAAACATCCAATATGTGTTTTTTGAGGAATTCAAACCCTTGCCCTTGTGAATGCTGCTTGCTGCTAGAAGATCCAAATGAAATCCTTGCTCTGTAACACTTTGCAATAATCACATGTATAAACCAGTCTGGAGTCCATCTACTCGAGGCTTTTGACTCAGCTTGAAGCATGCATCTTGTTTTCAAGTGTTGTGTGTTTTAACAGAGCTGTTTTGTTCTGTCTTTATTGCCACGCTTCTTTATAGTACAAATGTGACTAGGAACACAGCTGAAGGTAATGCCACGTGCAAGCTATGATGTGGTACCTCATTAACATTACTTACAACAAATATTACATCACCTGCTTGATGTAATAGACATCCCAAGGAAATTTCAATGAAGTGCCTGCAGTTGTATTTTTCCATTTATTCATGTCACTCAGATAATTTGTACTAAACCTGCACAACTCCATGGTTAAGTTCTGTCACAACTGTACCTAGTTTTGCGTTCTCCATTTGTCTGTCAAGGACAAAATAGCTGTTGATAGACAGGGCAGAGTCTTGTATGCCACTAATATGTTTCTCATTTAATTTAGCCAACAGTGATGACAATACAAATGAGAAGGAAACAAGCTTGAAAGAATTGGTTTTTCCACATTCCGAGCAAAAGGCAGATGCTTCAAATTTAACATCTCAGTTCAAGAAGGAGAATGACCAGAGGGATTCCACAGCTGACTCTTTAGTACCAACTCCACAGGAGCAAACTGAACATTTGGTTTTTGCAAATGGTGTAGCTCAAGCAAATCACCTCGTGGACTACCAGGAGAATCATCTTTCTGATGGAGCTGTCCCCCTAATGCAAGACTCTGACTCTGAACTTCCCACAGAAAAATTACACCACAAAACCTGTGCAGACAGTAAAAAGGAAGATGATACAAAAGGATCTAAAGAAGGACAAATCAGTCTCATGGGGACTTCTCCTTCTCAGAAAGCACAGGTGGAGAATCACAAATATGACACGAAGAAAAGCACTGCAGCTCTTCTTTCTCTTTCTTCTGCCATGTGCTCTGAGGGCCCTGACTGTCACTCCACGGGGAACCTGCAGGACAGTGACATTTCTCACCTCATTGATGAAGTGTCTCTCTCGACTGAGAGCGAGCTGGACAGTGCTGTGTCTGCTCTCATCGGGCAGCTCGATGGCACAGATGACCAAACCGCCCTTGCCCCTGTGTCCAGCCCCCCTGGCAGCAGCAGCCAGACCCCCAGGCTGGAGCCTGCACTCCCACACCTGTTTGCTGCAGACCTGAGCAGCCCCTGTAGGCACAACTTCAATCCCACAAAATCCAACAAATCCCCTTCAGTCTCCACTCCGGACACAGCCATGTTCTCCAGCCTGGAGGATGCAGAGTATTCCACGTACACAATTATCCACGAGGCATCTCCAGCTTCTGAATGTATGAGCAACAGGGAATTAATCTGCAAGAAAAGATTAAATAGTCTGGAAAGCATCTTGCCTGGCTCTTCTTGTTCTTCATCCCTCTCTTTGCTAAATGCAAATCCCAAAAGGAATTGTGCTACAAAATCTGGACCAAGCTGGGAAGCCCCCGAGTCTGGCAGTTCTTTTGGTTCCAACAGCCTCATCTTTGAGGAGGCGCTGGCCCCTGGCCCTGGGGAGCAGTCGGACAGCAGCAGCCTGCTGGAGGTGGATGGGGACTGCCAGGAGCTCCCGGTGACCACCTGTGAGTACAGACGGGAGGACATGAGCCAGCTGGCTTCTCCTCGGAGCCTGAGGCAGCAGCAGGACCCTGGGCACGCTGGGGACAGGACCTCTGGGAGCATCTGCACTGCTGCCCAGCACTGCTCCGAGAGCTGCAGGGCTGCAGGGAGGCCGCTCCCTGTCCCTGTGTGTGACAGCACCGGCGCTGTGTGGCAGCAGCACAGGGCTGCAGTGTGTGTCCCCCAGCTCAGCCCAGCCTGCCCCCTGCTCCCGTTCCCCCCACGCCCGCCCATCCAGCACAGCAGCCCCTGCAAGTCCAAGAGCCTGGGAGACCTCACCTCGGAGGACATTTCCTGCAACTTCGAGAGCAAGTACCAGTACATCAGCAGGAGCTTCATCTCCTCGGGCCTGAGGGACAGCCAGGCGGGCGCCATGCAGGGCGTGAGGCCGCACTCCACGGACGCGCTGACGGAGCAGCTGCGGAGGCTGCTGTCCCTGGAGCAGGAGGACAGCCGGGAGCCGCTGTGCCCCAGGCAGACGGAGCAGGACTGCCCCCGGGCCCTGGTGAGGAAACTCTCGTCCCGCAGCCAGAGCCGGGTGCGGAACATCGCCAGCCGCGCCCGGGAGCGGCAGGAGGCGGCGGGCAAGCAGCGGCCGTGCGAGGGCAGCGGCGTGCCCGGCGTGGTGCTGCGGAACAAGGCCGGGGGACACGGCGTGAACCGGCACTCCACCGGCTCCTGCATCGGCCGATACCTGCACGGCTGCGCCGGGGAGCGCCGCGGTGTGCCCGAGGGCTCCTGCTCCGCGCTGCAGCACGGCTGTGGGGAGCTAAAACTGCAACACGGCTGTGGGGAGCTAAAACTGCATCAGGGCTGTGGGGAACCGAAACTGCAGCACGGCCGTGGGGAGCTAAAACTACAGCACGGCTGTGGGGAACCAAAAGTGCAGCACGGCTGTGGGGAGCTGCAGCTGCCGGCCGGAGCCCCGGAGCAGCCCGAGATCTATTTTCTGCTCCGGCTGTGAGTCCCAGACTTGCTGCACTGCAGGGAGAGGTTAGCCAGGAGCTGCTAGTGAGTTCTAAGCTGTTAGTGAGTTTTAATTTCGAAATGCAGCCGGTGAACGGCGGTGACTGAACGCGCCCCTCGCTGTGGGAGCTGAGGGAAGGAACCGCCCGCGCCCTCAGGGCCGCTCCCGTGGGCCGGGGCTGCCGTGGGTGAATTTGTAACGTTCTGTGTCTGTAATTCCACGCTCCAAAGCCTGACATTGCACTGAAGGCAATACTCCTTTCCTTGTGTCTTGTCCTCCTGCTTGGAAAAACACTTTTGGTGATCACTTCTGGCCTTTTGTGAGGATTCTCTAAAGCACTGTGGTGTCTGGAATGCTGGACTGGGGCTTGTTCTGCCCAGCAGGCAGCGACCTTCATTAGCATCACTTGTTGTTGATTGTTATTATAAATTTTACATGTTCTCATGTATGAACTGTGATTCTACAGCAAATGGTTTGTAGAATTAAGTTTAGTCCAAGTTTGTGAGTCTTGTGTTGATTTGTCTTCTGCCCTCTCTACAAAGTATGACAACAGTTGTCTTCCTTCTCGGTTCCTGTGTTGATTTGGGGCTGAGTGGAATGTGGGAGTAATTCTGCTTTTATGAATGAAAACAGTTAATTTCTGCTTATTTTGTTACGTGTTTTTGCTGTTGGTTGTGTGAGTAGCTTTGGTACAGCAGATCCATTTTCTGTATATTTGTAATTTTATTGCTAAATTGTCGTCAGTGGAATATTTAAACTGACATGGTAGAGTGACTATTTTGGCTGTTCACCTTTTTCTATGAAGGTTGAAAGTGAATTGTGTGAAGGAATCTCAGACACCTAAAGCTTCCCTGTAGGGAACAACATAGCTTTATTTTGTTTGGAAGATACTTTTTGCCTTTGCTGTAAGTTTTTCTGATATGTCAAAGACGTACCTTTTACCTCTTTCTTTTGTAATGCAGAGTATTATTATTCTTGAAAACGTCATTAAAATAGATTTTTAAGCACTTGGTTACATGTTTTCTGAAAAAAAAAATCTATCCAAATAGATTGGTGCTGAATCCAGCAGCAGCTAGTGACTGCACACATCTGTCTTGGCAGGAGGTGCAAGGAGGGAAGAATCTTCATTTCACAGGGTGGTTCTTGGCTGGAGGTGACAGCTGAGCTCTGGTCTCCCTTCTGGATCAGGAGCCACATTTGAGTTTGTCTGAATTTTCCACTCAGGCTCTAACACAGGAGAGTGGCTGTGTTATCACTTGGGAGAGAACAGTGGATTTTCTAAACAAAAAGCATTTTCCCGTGGAGGAACAGAACCAGACACTGGATCAATCCCTTAAACTTTGGACCTGGATTTGTGTCTCACAGCCAGGATGCAGTTTGGGAGGTGAGACTGAGTAGCAGTGCCTTGTGAGGAAGCAATGAGAAGATCTCCATTGTGAAAGGTGAAAAAACTTGTTTTAATTGGAATAAATTTAGAAAATCTGTATGGTGCTTGCAGGAGGTCAGGATAGATTCTTGCAGCAGTGTTTTATCACATAATCTCTTACACTCTTCTCTTAATTTTAGGAGTTAATCCAGATGGGGACAGTTCTTTGTGTGACAGTGACATTTGGCTAATGGAGCAGGGCTGAGTTTCTGTACTGCAGCTGAAGCCAAATACACATCAGCCATTTTAAATATAAATATATATGTTCTATCTCTTCAGTTTTTAGTTTAAATGAACAAGCTTCATTTTCTTTCACGGAGTGGAAGCAATGCACACAAATGTGCCTGTGCCCATCCAGCTGTTCCTGCCATGGAGTGTCCTGGGATACCTGAGCCACACTGCTCATCCTCCCTGCCCACGTCATGTGGTGCTACTGGTGAGTACTGGTGAGTACTGGTGAGTACTGGTGAGTACTGGTGATGCCAGCCCCGAGCTGCTGTGGGACACTCTGGGTCAGAAATGTTTGTGTCACTGTGAATTTGGGTCCCAGAAAATTCAACCTGGGGGTGACATTCTCTGTGCAGCAACTCCAAACTCTGTGGGAATGGGACACTTTGGGAAACGTGCAAATGCCTCCTTCTCCAGCTGTGTGCCCTGGATCATGAAATGAAGGGACAGTGAGTTCAGAAATTCAGCCTTTAAACTCTGGGAACATCTGGTGTGTGGATCCCAAGCAGCATTGTACAGAGCCAGGGCTTTTACACATAGGGGTGGGACAGACTGATCTGCAGTTCAGACATCTAGAAGGCCATTCAATTCATTCAACTCTCCCAAAGTTAATTAGACTGTCTGAACAAGGCTGCAGCTTGCTGAAAATCCATCTAGTGAGGACTTTTTTTGGTGCAGAATCTGCACCAACACAGAATAAACAATCACTTTAGCCCAGCAGAGGCTGGTGGCTCACATCCTGGGTTAGCAGGCTTAAATTGCTTTGCTAATTCATGAAAGAAAGCATAAATTAAACTGTTCAAGAATCTGCAGAGAACAGATGGGTTTGGAATATTACTTTTGAGAAATTATATATTTTCTAATTGAAAGCCAGAAAGAGTCTCCAGTTCAATTTATGTGATTGTTTACTGGAATGACAACTGCCCCTGCTTTAAGCAGTTGTACAGAATGTTCCAGGTGCTAGGGAGCCACTTCACATCCCTCACTCCTGGCACAGCAGCCCCTGTTTTGATGCTTTAATAGGAGGGCTTTCATCCTGTTTCCCATCTGCATCTTAAATAAGATTAAGGTATGTAAGAATAAAGTATTTTGTGAAAGAGCAGTCAGATTTTCACCCAAGAGCATGTTGGGTCAATTTTGTTCTTGGATTGATGCTCATTTGGATTTGTTTTGATAAGATTTTATTGTTTTTCCTTTTTGCAGCAGGGAGAATCATGTGCAGGACCCTCAGTCACACACGAGACAGTGGCACAGTGTTTACACTGATTACAGATCTGTTTAGACATGCAGCAGGAGAAATAAATTGAATTTCTACCAGAGATTATCTTTTAAAGTCCTGTGTTGGTTGAGACAGAAAGAAATTAAAATGAAGAGTGCCTGACTGGCCTATTTGAGGTGGAATTTTGTGTGTGTAGAAAGCCATGAAGTGGAAATATTTTCTTTTGCACCTGACTTTAGTCTAGCTATGGGCCAGGACAGGAGAGTTTGCAGTGTGGGTGCAGCTGAGTTTCCTGGCCTTGCCTTGTCTGTGCTGGCCTGGTGGGTGGACAGGGCTGTGTTTGTGTGTGAGGGGAGGGATGAGGGAGGGGAGCAGCTGCAGCTTGTGTTTGCTAGTCCTTGCTTTGGGAGCTGATGGGTTTTTAATGGGCTCTGCAGCAGAGCCTTGTCCTTGCCCTGTCACTGCTGCAGTCCCAGCAGTGTTTGCAGGGTCCAGCTCCAGCCTCGTGGATTTGCTGCTCTGGTTCCATGTGTGTGTGAGTGCAGTGAAAACACAAGAGAGGGAGGCTGAAAAGGGGGTTTGAGGTTCTGAACAGCCTGAATTTCACTAGTTGCTTGGCTGGACACTTGCAAATAAAGATAAATCCCATTCCTCCTGGTGTGTGCATTTAAAAGAAATATGAACTTCCATGTCAGACTTCATAATGACACAGAAATAGTTCCTTCATATTCAAACCAGTGAGTTCTTTTCCAAGCCCCACTATTCTCTGATCTAATCCCAGCACAGGGAATGCAGTTGTGTACAGAGTGACACCAGGGGTGGGAACTCTGGTGTCTGACAGCCCAAAACTTTGGGCTGGGTGGAGCAGTGAATCCCTGGAGCTCTGCTGTTCCTCTGTTCTAAGGCATTGCTTGGATGGGTAAGTAAGGTACAGCTGGGGGTGACTGCAGTTCACCAGTGCAGTCAGACAGTATTTATGTCATCCCATTTCAAGGAGTAATAGACTTAAGGAAGCACATTTTTAAGGGAAACAGATGTCTGGAAGCAGATGATTAATTTGTGCTGAGTTTTCAAGCACTCATTTAACTTACAAGCTCTTTAAAGTGGATTCTTTAATTTAGTGTTTCACTTCTTCAACATTTATAGTCAAAATCTTATTTCAGTTAAAGATGTGTTTGTCAAAAGTGATACTTTTAAATTCATTGGAGTTCTGCAAATGAACACTGCTCAGAGAACAGAATATGGAGAGTTGCAGAGTGCTGCAAGTCATGTTAATTTGACTTTCTTATTTCCAGAGCTGGTAACATTTTTTTTTATCCCCTCCACACCAGAACAAACGCTGGCTGCTCTCAGATGGTCAATTATCTTAATTGAGTTCTCACTATTTATTAACAGATCTTTAATCCATCTTTCAGTCTTACCTTCAGATTTCTCCCCCATCTTTCCCCATGTGTGAGACGAGGTGATTTCTATGCACAGGCTGTGCACTGAACAGATGGATCTGACAGCAATGCCATATTCTCCCACCAAAATTGACAGGATAATAAGTGGAGATCTTGTTAAACTTGGCTGTGTTACCATCAGTGCTTGTTTGCTAATATTTCACAGCAAGGCAGACTGGCTGACAGGGCTTTGCTGAATGCATTGGCAGCAGCCTTTTCTTAAGCTTAAAGAAATAAAGAAGAAAAAAAAACAGAGATCACCAGAGACCTTGCCAAGACCAATGCAGAATATGATGGGGAAGCTCAGGGGCTGAGGGAGCCCAGGGCTGCCCATCTGACAGGGATCTGACCCTCCTGCCAAAGGCTTTTCCATCCAGGCAGCTCCTGAGCTGCCCAGAATGACACACAAAGCTTTGTTTGGCAAAAGCTGGGAATCTCTGCAGATCAGGTGTGTGTTCAGCAACTGCAGCCTCTCTGCTGGGTTATGGCACACCTGGAAACACCTGGGCCAGAGGAGCAGGAATGGAACAGGGATGGCAGCAGCAGTGAGGAGGGATTTGACAGAAACCCCTTGGGTTTAACTTGGCCCCCTGAGCCACACAAACACCTGCGTGGAGCTGAGCACCACGACTAAATAGCTGCCAGACAGACACTCGTTAAAGTTTAATTAATTAATCACTCA